GAGCTCATTGTAAGCCTCCACCTAGCTTCGCTGGGGTCTGCACTGTGAGGGTGAAGGGGGGTGGCTGAGAACGTCGTTGAAATGCCACTGTTTTTCCTGACATAATACGTGCGAGGGTCCATCCTCAGATACGCAGGAGGTTCTAAGATGGAGCAAAGAGCATAGTTTCCTTACTGCAAACATAAGTGCGTTTCAGACCTCAGATGGGAGCGGGGAGCACGCGTGTCTCGCTGGTTTTGTTGCCGGCCCCGTGGGCTGGTCCCTGACAGTCCCAAAGGGGCCTCCATGCTCAGGAGGAGGACCCTGCTGTCCCTGGCAGCAGACACCGCCCCACAGGCACTGTCTGTCTCAGGAGATGCAGCAGCAGAACTAGTGAAGACCCGCAGGATCACCACACCCGAGCAAGACACCAAGCACCCAGACGGGCTTGGATAACATCATAAAACCCTGCTCTTCACCCCATAAAACAAGTGAGGAAACGTAACTCAGAGGAGTTTGCCAATTTGTCCCGGAGTCACGGATCAAGTTCAGGCCCCACGTGAGATTGAACAGAAGAGTCTGGAGAACCCCAGTGTGGACAGCTTACCAGCTGAGTGGGTCGCTCATCCTTCATGGGTCTGTGTTTCGTCCTGTGAAAGTGTGGAAGATGGTGCAGTGCTTGGGGCCATGCGCAGGGTGTGCCCGCCCGCCGCCAGCTTTCGGGGCCTCCAGCAAGGAGCCCGGACGCAGCAGGTGCAGGCGGATGGCAGACGCAGCCCCCAACAGCCTTTCCCACCTTCACCCTTGGTCACCTGGCTCCTGATTGTGCTGGTGCTCACCCTTGTGGTCCACAGGAAAAAGCAGGTGGGAGGACAGGTGCCACAGGCTAGGGCCGTGGGGCCAGCAGAGCCTCATGCCCTTGACAGCCATGAAAGCCATTCTGGAAAGTGCCGGATGGACACTATCCTGCAACCCCTTCACCCCGGTTAGTTACCCCAGAGCAATGGGAGCAGGTGCAAAGAGCCGTGAAGGACCAGCTGCACCTGCTCCATGTGCAGCAGCCCCGTTCTGTGGGGGAGGGCAAGCCTCCGTGGGAGACAACAGATGCCTGCTGGTGACTCCATCAAACACAGGAAGAGGAGCAGACCGCTCAATGTCCAGCCGGGTACAGGGGGTTAACTGAATGACTGTACTTACGTGAAGTTCTAGAAGGCTCCACTCACCCATGTTGGCAGGATCCCTGGCGCCAGCAGCCTGCATTGGGGCACGGGCAGGTTCTGCAGGGGAGGGGCAGGAGGGAGTTCTCGAGGTGATGGAAACACTCCCCGTCTTGGCTGAGGAAGAGCTCACATCTGGGCAAATGTGTATACGAACCCATCAACATGTACACGTGGGATCTGTGTTCATGTTAGAGAACAACCCACAGGTTTCCGCCTCAAACAGCGGGCTGGTTTTGCCGGGAGCTCAAGGATGGGCGTCCAGCCTCACAGAGCGCAGAGAACGGGTGGCCCGTGCGCTCCCCATGCCCCACCCGGCCTTGACACACAGTTATTTTGTGCTGGAACCATGCTCCTTGCTTCTTCTAATTGGGAGGTGGGGGGGGTCAATGACAAAAACCCCCTAACCAGGGGCTCCAAGCAGTTCAACAGCACCCAGCTGGCTGGATGCCACGAGCAGAGTGCTTTCCGAGGTGGCGTCCTCGGAGGATCCTTGCTGGGGACGCAGCCCTGGCTCATCTAGGGGCTGTGTCTGTGCCGGCCAACAGCCCACACGGGCCTCTCTCCAAAAAGTCCTCTTGTTTACAATGGCCCGGCACACAGAAACCCTGGTGACTTATATTTGCAAACCTCTTGGCACAACCTGAGGCCTGGACCACACTGGCCTTATAACATAGCAGCACTGGGGAAGAGCCCGGACCAGTGATGGCCAAGGTCATCGGAAACCACGAACACAGCCTCAAGGGTTAAGCCCTCAGGGCTGCTCCAGTGGCAAGCCTGGGTCAGGGCAGCAGGAAAACTCTGAGGGAACACCTGCTTCCTGCAGGGCCTGAGGCCCCAGTGAGACATGATGTCACTGAGATTTATCATGTCTCAGGGAGGTGACCTTTCTGGGGAGGCGAGGTGCCTGACCTCAGAAAACAAACACTATCTCCACACAAAGTCAGGAATGGGGCCACCTTGTCCAGGTAACCCCGACCACAGCGCCAAGCAGGTCCTGCAAATTCCTTGCATGGTCTGTCCATAGCACTCGCATCTCCAGCTTCGCTTGGGGTCCCTGTAGAAGCAGCAGGACTTCCACAGACAGTCAATGTTCACTTGTCACAGTCCCAACATGATGCAACCAGCCCTTCCTCCCCCAGCTCTTGTGAAGCGACACTTAGAAAAATGGCCTGAAACAGAATTCTAACTGTTGGGTCTGCTGATGGGAGGGAAGGCAAATGAAAAGGATGTAAGAATGTTGGGGGGGTTTGCCAGAAAAGAGAAATTCAGGAATAAAGAGTGGCCTGTCGATTCAACAGTGGCTGGGACATCTGTGGTGAACAGCTCCCCATTAACTATGACAGAAACATCAAAAAGGTGCTTTCTAAATGTGTTTCATTAGGAAAATTACTGCTATTAGGGTTTTTGAGGTTTTGAGTCAGAGGATTAGAAAGGGTTGTGAAATGGACTCCATCCTCCTGTTCCAACCTACTGATCCCCCAGATACCCTCACCCCTGTCCTTCCACAGGTCCGGGTTTGGCTTGGAAAACAGTCATGGGGACAGTCCCCCAAAAGCAAGGGAGTACCTGGGCTAGCACTGCCCCTGAGTCCCCCACCCCACCAGGACAAGGGAATGCCCTTCCAGCGGTCCTGACCCAAGTCCAGGTTCCTGCAGCGTGGGGAGAAGCACGACTGCCCCACGGGGGCAGGAAGCTTTGTCCTGAGTCGGTAGCCTTTTACCATCTTCCTGATTCCTGGTCACAACTGTTCCTACAGCAGAGCCTTAGTGTGGTGGGTGTTTTCTGTCACTGCATTTCCTAGTACAATGCTCACAAGAAGCTGCTTCTATCTCTCTTCCTTCATCTTGCATCATCCCACCCCTCCATCACCCCATCTCTCCATCACCCCACCCCACCATCCCCCTCATCCCTCCATGCCCCAACCCTCTACTCCTCATCCCCTATTCTCCACTCCTCCATCCCCATCATCCTATCCGCCAACACCTTCATCCCCCAGAAAACCCATCCCTCCACCCCTTTATCCCCCACCCCCCATTCCTCCATCCCCATCATGCCTTCATCCCCCCATCCTCCACACCGTCATCCTCTATCCCCGGCCCCTCCATCACCCCACCCTCCATCACCCCATTCTTCATCCCTCCACCCCTCCATCCCCCCATCTAATCTCTCCATCTCCTCATTCTAGTCCAACCCCTGGTTGCTCATAGAGGCTAAGACCGTCCCCCCACCCAGGAGTCCCTCACCATGCTGCATGAGCCTCGGGCTCCTGGCCCTTCGGCTCTCCACACAGCACCCAGCACCTCCCAGGAGCTGGGCTTCCCAGCACACTTGATCCATTCACCACACCCTTATTAAGCATGTGCTATGGATCAGGCACCATATTGGGCTCAAGATACAGTGATGAATAAGACAACGTCCCTGCCATCAGGGGCTCACTATCTAGGCCAGTGACAAAAATCTGTAGGGTTACAGGAAAGGGCAGTTGTGCTAGGAAATTCGCCAGGCAGATGAGGAGGAAGACGGAGAGAAGGAATTCCTTCCCAAAACCATTCGTGGTCTCTGACAGCCAGTGAGGGTAGGATACAGAAGGAAGGTCTTCCCATGGACCTTATAGTCCAGAGGGGTGAGCGGCCAGACAGGCTCACAGCTCTCACAGGAAGTCACAAGTGCTTGTCTTAGAAGAACAGGTTAGGTGCTGAGAATTTAAGAGCATTCTGGGTTGGAGGCCTCCCAGGAGGCTGGGTGGGTGGGGTTTTGAAGAACACAAAGGACAAATGGGCAGAGCTGGGAGAACTTTCCAGAAGGAAGAGGTGGCAGGTTGGGGTGGGGGGGGATGTTCCAGAGGAGTTAGGGCCAGGGGACAGGAAAGACATTTTGGAACACTGGCCCCGGGCCTAAGGGCGCCCCTCAAATGTGGCAGCCGAGCTGGGGCTGCTGGGCTTAGGGGGCTGTGTGTGAAGCCACGGGCAATACTCTGGCACACCTTCCTCGGTTTAAATTTTCTTAATACTTTTGCAGAAAAACATTTCTGTATTAAAATAAACATACAAAAAGACAGAATGCAAAATATACAGAGACTTCTTTTAAGATTAGAAAAAAAAAATACAACTTCAGAGAAGTTTTGACTGCCTCCAGAAGGCCCTTCTGTGTGCACATGCCCTTGGGGCCAGCAAGGTAACTAAGGAAAAGATCTGAGAAGCCTGGGGTCCTTGGTAGATAGCACCTGGCCCGCAGATAAAAAAAGCAAGCCCAGAGAGGGGTTGTCATGTGCTTGAGGTCACACAGTGCCTGAGCAGCAGAATCAGGCCTGGAACCAGGCTCCCCATGTAGCACAGTGGATGAGCAGGGTGTGGGAGAGAAGGAAGGGGAACACAGGCCATGTGTGAAGAAGAAGAGCTCATGAGGAGCAGGGAGAGTGCTATGGTCTCGACAAGATCCAGGTCCTCTCCTGCCAGCTTCTGTGGGGCCAGTGCTTATCTCAGACAGAGCAGGACCAGCACCCAGCAGCGGCATCGTCCCCGCGGTGGAAGCAGGAGACACACCGTCTTTTCCATTCTTCCTCCTCAGTGTTGTTCTGCAGAGCACAGGGCACCCCTTGCCAACTGAGCGAGCACCAGAGAAAGGCTCTCAGCCACCTGGGACACCTCTCCTCGTGCCCTTCCCATGACAAAGGTGTGTCCTGTGGTCGGTGAGTCTGGAAAGAACAGGATTCCTTTCCATTTCCAGGTCAGTGAGACCAGGCATCATGTGGCTGTGAGAATTCAGAGCTATGTTGTTTTCCTAGTAGGGGAAAAAAAAAAAAAAAAAACCTCCAAAATAGGACCCCCAAACAGTAAGAGTTATCCGTGGCGTGAGATTAGGGGGAAATGCTCCTTGGCTAGGAGACGGTCACCACAGCCTGCAGCTGGATGCTGCCATCCCTGACGGTGTCCTTCTCTCTCTTCAGAATGTGCTGGGAGAGTGTGTGAAGGAACCAGCCCACGTCCTGGAGGTCCTCGGGCCACCTCAGGTAGTGCCGTTTCCGCACAAACCCTGCAATGCCCCGGTGCTTCATCAGCTGGTACTGGGACAGGGACCCGACGATCACCAGGATGAGGGCGCCATCCACATCAGACACACACCTGCTCTGGGCATAGGCAAAGGCTTCCAGGCACCACCCGTCCCGGAGGAAGTGTCTGCTCACGAGGCAGACCACCTTCCTGCTGCCCCACACGGCGTCCTGGATGTTGGCGATGTGCTCCCGCCCCGGGACAAAGTCTCTTTCTTCAAAGCACAGGTTGAATCTGTTCTCGGCGCTATACTGAGCATCCAGGTGTCTGAGCAGTGCCCGCTGCACCCACTCAAAGTCTCTGCCGCTGAAGCAGAAGTATGCATCGTATCTGTACGGCTCGGACTCGTGGCGCTCGGCCTGGACCGTGGGCAGCAGTCCGCAGGCCGCCCTGTAGCAGACAAAACAAAGGCCCCGGAGCTTGGTAGACACGAAGACTGTCACGAGGAACAGAGTCAGAGTCACCGTGGAGGAGACAAAAAGAGACAACCGTAGGGTCTTCAAGACCTCCTCTTCATCACAGTCCTCCATGGAGACAGAGGAGAGGGGGGTCCCTGCGAGTGTGTTGGGGTACATGCAGGAGATGTCTGCACCAGACCCAAGCACGGTGACATTGGTCTGGTTGAGCCAAACAACGAGAGAACGGAGGTCACACTCACAGATGAACTTGTTGTGTGTTATGTCCACAGCAGTGAGGGACGCCAGCAGGTCAGGGTCCAGGGAGAGGAGCTGGTTTCTGGACACATCCAGCACCTCCAGGTTGGCAGGCAGGTCACCAGGAGCAAGCGCCATCAGCCTGTTGGAGCTGAGGTCGAGACCCCTCAGCGCGCTCAGATCGCCAAGGGCCCCGGGAGGGAGGAAGGTCAGGTAGTTATTGTTCAGATACAGGACCCGGAGCCGTGAAAGCCCCTTGAAGACATCCCAGCAGAAGCCGGTTTCCCAGGCAAGCTGCAACATGTTTCCTCCGAGGAAAAGCGTTTCCAGGCTGAGGCTCCCTGCCGGGCTGCGAGCACGGCTGCAAGAGGAAAAGCGGTTTTGATTCAGAATGAGGACCTGGAGGTCGGGGACCTGGAGGAGGAAGTAGAGATCGTCCAGATCCTCCAGCCTGTTTTCGGACAAGTGGATGAAGTTGGCTTTAAGCTCCATGTCCGGCAAGGCCGCCAGCTTGTTGCTACCCAAGAAGATGGTGTCTAGGCTTGGCAGGAAAGAGATTGTTTTAAGAGCATTGTCCCGCAGATCCAAGGTCTGTAACGTTTTCAGGAACCTGAAGGTCTGGCTCTGAATGATCCCAATATGATTGTTTTGGAGATCAATATAGGCTACCTGACGGAGTCCGGAGAAATCAGAATCATAAAGCTCCCCCAGGAGGTTGTAGGACATGTTGAGAACCTGGAGGCTGTCGAGGCCATAAAACGCTTCTCCCGCAATCCTGTTGATCTTGTTGTGGGCCAGCTGCAGGAGCTTCAAGTCCTTGAGGGCCTCAAAGACTCGGAAGTTCAGGGAGAAGATGAAGCCATAGGACAGGTCCAGCCATAGCAGCGTGCTCCTGGCCAGGCCTGCAAACGTGTCCCGGTTGGGGTCCCTGATGTTCCGGAAGCCAAACCCGGACCCCATAATGTGGTGGGCCAGCACCAGGGAGGAGATCTGGCTCCCGCTGACGGCCCTGCTGAAGTTGCCTATGATGTCTGCAGTCCAGCCATTGCCAGAAACATCCAGGGTCTCCAAGACCATGTTTTTGAATGGGTTCATGCACGCGCCCCAGTCCACGGAGCCCCTGCTGTACAGCTGATTGGCGGCGAGGTTTAATAGCGAGAGCGTTTTCCCTTGCAGCGGCTGAAGCTCATGTTCACACACGACAGGTATCTGGTTGAGGGAAAGATCAATGGACTTCAGGGAATTTAATTCGCAGAACGAAGGGTGAAGGTTAAGGCTACGAATCTGATTTTTGGACAGGTCCAGGCGAAACAAAGACTCCAAATTTCTGAAGTAACCATCTTTTAATATCTTATCGGACAGACCACAGTGGAAGAGTCTAAGTTCCTGCAGGCGGGGCAGCCCCTGGAAAGCATCGGGATGCAGGAAATCCACCTGACTCTTGCCCAGGTCCAAGACCCTGAGGTTGGGCAGGTTTCTGAAGGCCTCTCTGCCGATGGTAAAGGGGGTAAACTGAGTCCCGAGCTCCAGCAGCTGCAGCTGCTCCAGGAAGGGGAAGGACGTGGTTGTCACAGTCTGGATATAGTTGAAGCTGAGCAGGAGGATCTGGGTGGTGCTGGGGACCGGCGGCACCTGGGTTAGGTTACAGGATCGATACAAGGCCCTCTGGCCATCAGAGGTGCAGGAAGGAATTGTTAGCACAGGGCTGGCCACGAGCATTACCCCCAACAGAAGGTCCAGGTGGCATCCCATGATCCTGTGGGGAAGGAGGGAGGATGAAAACACAGCCGTCCCAGCTCAAGGCATTGCACTGGGTCCCTGGGCCTCGGGGGCACCCCCGCGATGTGCCAGCTCCCCAAGACCTCGCGGGCGTGGCCATGGCTTATGTGTCTGTGTAGATGGTGCTCTTCACTCCTACTTGCACTGCGGTGCAGGGTGGTGAGCACTGTTCTAAGCACCTCAGAAATACCTGACCTTTACAACAAGTCCATTTCTCATTCACTCGTTCGTGCAATCAGTCATTCAAGGTCTGCCGCGGAAGCTGAAGAGAACAGCAGGCAGAGACACATTTGTGTTCCCCTCCCCCTCCCCTGCCGGGGACCACTCTTCCCCCTGCCGACGGCTCTGTGGCAGCTCCCAACCTACCCTGCCCAGGGCACGGGCCCGTCCACACCTCTGCCCTCACTACACACACACACGGCCTATTGCATCACACAAACGCTGATCCTCCTCACCCTCCACGAGCATCAGACGTGGCAGGTCAACACGGCCTGCATGATGGGGTGGGCAGGCTGCAGGTCAGGTCATCCCTACTTGCGTCTGGCTTGGGTCCCCAGCCCTGCACCAGGTGGAGAGGGGCCGCACCTGCTGTGCCTGGGGCGCATTCGGCCCACTCTCTGTGGAACCTCCAAAGGGAAGGAAGTACTCTGTGACTCTGGATGGAGAATGGGGCCAAGGTAGGAGGGGAACAGGAAGCAGGTGCGGGTCTGCACCGAGCGTTAACCCACAGCCACGGCCACAGTGTCCTGTGGGGCTGGACCATGACTCTGCGGAGGTTTTGCTCCACCTTGGGGTTGATCTGTGGTGGGGTTTCCATGGAAACCCTGAGGCTGAGACACATAAATTACAGCAAATCAGAAGTGGGCGTGGAGCCGGAGTTGACCCCAAGCCTCCAAACCGCGCATTTACTAATCAAGGGGAAGAACTCCGCGGAGCGAGATTGTCGACCAGGGCCCCCCGTTTCTCCACCATTCCCACCTGAGGCTGATGCCGGGGGCCAGGGCCGCAGCAGCGGAGGCCCCTCACCTCCCGTGGGCCACTCACCCTCCCTGTGGCCTGAAGACACGCCCCCACCCACCCACCTCTCCTTGCCTTCCCCAGGCGGCTCCCCTCCTCCCACTTCTGCAGTCTGGCTCCGCCTGTCTCCCGAGCATCATCTGCATGTCCGCCATGTGCTGGGTGCTGTTTGGGACACAGGAGGGGGTGAACAAACAAACCACACTCTTCCTCGCAGGCTCATTATAGTGCAGGGAAGTGGGGAAAGGGCGCCACCCAACTGAAGGAACATCAGCCATCAACCGGGAACATGGAGACCAGGACTGCCAGGGCGGGGGGCGGGGGGCTGTTTGTGGAGTGGCCAGGAAAGCCCCCCCGATGATATTTTGAGCAGAGACACGAGGAAAGAACAGGAAAAGGAGAGGCCCAGCGTCTGATGTGGGAGTTCCGTCACACGGGGCTCCATCTGCCTCCTCCAAATCTGTCCAACCTCAGCGCCTTGGCACGTGCTGCTTCCTGCATGCCGCTCCCATGGGTAGATCTCACATCAACACTTCCTCAAGAGTCTTTCCCCACGCTCGCTAGTTGCAACAACTCCCCACCCCTGACTCTCTGGAAACTACCCTGTGTGTTTCTGTGAAAGCCATGATCCCAAGCCCTGAATCACCTTGTGCAGCCACCGGTTTCCTTGTCTGCTGTCTGTCTCCCTGACGGCTATGTTGCCGTCAGTGCAGCAAGCATTGGGAAGGATGTGTGCTGCTAAAAAGGAGAAACAAAGGGGAATGAGTCACCCCACTGGTGATCTGCGGAAGGAACTGTCTCTGCTAAGAAGAAAACTGCGTATTATCCACGAAACGTCCTGGATACACAGGGGCTCCCGATGGGGAAAAGCCGCCTTGGCCAGAGCATCCCGTGAGCACATGGGAGGCTACAGGGGGTTCTGATCATGGAGAGGAGGTGACAGAAGCCCCCCAGGGAGCAAGGAGGCTGGCTGGGCGCCCGCAGCAGGAGGCTGTCCCACCAGGCCACCGCAGGGGTGAAACCTATGCTCAAAATCACCTCAGAGCCTGACTCTCTTCTCGGGGCCAACGGCATGTTGCTTGCACTGTTTTCCTAAATACTGACTTTTCCAGGTACATGACCACCTTGTGAATCTAGGGAAGCTTGTACCTTTACCATTTGGAGCTTTAGGGGGACTTATTCGCCCTTCCAGGAAAATCCCTTCATGGTGCCCAGGCCCCGGGGTGGGGGGGACGCCTGGAACCATACGGGTACACATGCATGTGTGTGTGTGTGTGTACGCATGTGTGCTTTGTCTGTGCACACAGACGTGTGCACAAGTGTGTGCACTCACTTCTGCATGTGTGCACGTGTTCACAAGGGTGCCGCACATCTGTCTGTATGCTCGTGTGTGCACACGAGTGTGTGCACGTGCGTGTGAGCTAGTTTACTCGGCCCTCATTTCTAAATGTCGAATGTAATTTTTAAAAAAGTTAAGGAATGTCCATTGAGTATTTTCTTAGGTCTCTTAAATCCCATACATGAAGGGGAAAGTCCAAATCACTCATTTTGCCTCCTCGTGTGCACTTCTATTAATTCATCATAAATGACTTTCCCTTTAATTTCTTTTGGATATTCCTGTTAGGGCACCTTATGTTGCTCTCATTAAAATTATGCATATGGGTGAATTAGATTAGAGCTGTGATTCCATTTCAAAATGGAAAAGTTTGGGGATTTAAACATTTGTCGTAGAAAGCTGCATTAATCAGCACTGCGGCCCAGAGGCAAAGCTTCCAGTCCCTCCAGTCCCCGCTCACCAGAGGCACACGATGATTAAAGCCAGTTCTTCCCTTGCCTCTCCACCCACATAGCTTGCGGTTGTCTCTCGCAGGGATGATCTCACGGAGTCCTGACAGCAGAACTGCCTCTTCCTTTCTCAGTAAATGTCTTCTGGGTTCAGGTGGTCCTTGGAGCCAGTGTCCTTGAGTTTACAGTAGACACACCTGCATTCTGGGAAGTGGGACTCAAGTTCAGGATGATCTCGGTAGATAAGGTGGAGACCCGCCAGAAAGCAAGTAGGAACGGGTGAGGCCAGATGTGGGGTTATAGCCCCACAGCAGCCCCAGAAGAGCGCCAGCCCTGCGCAGGCACCAGCTCTGGGACAACACCATCCCTGCTTTCCTGATTCCTGAGCAAACCAGCCAGGGAAGGGCAGCCTGGCACCTTCAAGGAGACGAGACGAGAGACTGCAGGTCTCTGGTGGTGACCCGAATCGGGCTCCCGCCTCCTGGCACGTGCTCCGGGCTGCAGTTCCAGAATCTGTTGCCGCTGTGGTGGTCCACACTGGGCCACGCAGTGGGAGACATGGTTCTCAGGAGGCAGATTCTCCTAGAAACACACAGAGATTCTCAAATGTGCTTAGAAGGAGGCAGGAAGAATACGGAGGATGTGGGAGACACAAGGTTAGAGAAGACCACACTCTGTTTCCTGCAACCTTCTTCCCGTCTCACAGTGGGAACAGGGCCCTAAAGCAACAGGCAGGGACACACGTACGCCAGCCTCCCTGCCCATCCGCAGACCACACTCTACAGTAGTTCTTAATACTTTGAGGTCATGGACCCTTTTGAGACTCCCATAGCTCTGATTCCTTTATCTCCAAAAACGCATATACACATAACAAACCAAACTGCCCCTAGCTTCAGGGGTTCACAGACCTCGTGACGTTTGCTCCTTCCAGCTCATCACTCACATGGAACAACCAGCACATTTCACCTTCCAGAATGGGGCTCAGAAAACGTTCTGCAGAGACACCTGGGTGGCTCAGTCCATTAAGTGTGTGCCTTCGGCTCAGGTCATGATCCCAGGGTCCTGGAATCATGGACATTGGGCTTCCTGCTCGGTGGAGAGCCTCCTTCTCCCTTTGCCTTTGACCCTCCCCCCTGCTCATGCTTTCACTCCCTCTCTGTCTCTCTCTCTCAAATGAGTAAGTAAAAAAAACCTTTAAAAAAATCCTTTAAAAATGTTTTTTAAAAAAGTTCTACAAAGGGTCAGATGGTAAATATTTCGGGCTTTGCGGTCCAAATACCGCAGTTTGCCAACCTTTGTCCTTGAACAGAATAGAAACTTTGATTTCACAAATGAGGATTTTTAGTGAGTGTAAGACAAATGTGCTCCGGTACCAAACCAGCGGTATTTGCAGGAAGAGCTTGCTCGACCCCCACACTGCCGACTGTCTCACAGCTGCTATTTTGTTCAAACATCACAATGAATTCTCATCTTATGTAACCAGACAGAAAAACCCCTGCAGAGACATGCAATCGAGAACACTGGCTCAGAATAACAGAGTCAAATTTCCGAGTTTCGATTTTGCCTTGTTCCAGGCAACTTCTTGCCTGGAGTCATCCCCCAAATGGGTGTTTCGGAGCTTGGCCCTGAACTTGTGGCAGTAACGAGGGCTCTATGGGAGCCCCACACAACACACTCCAAGATGCTGAGCTGTCAAGCCTGTGGTACAGTGAGATGGGTAAGGCCAGATTTTAAAGAAAATTATTTGGGCGTATGTTGTACCACAAAGAGACTATGCAGACCGATTATCGTATGAAATGCAGGAAGGTGTGAAACGCTACATTTCTACCTCTGAAGGGGGCTTTGGGGGTCGAGCTCCAGGACAGGTAAGCCGACAGGCATGGGGAGGTGTGACTGCCCAAGCGGAGGGTCCTGGAATGGGAGCCAGAAGCCAACGTGGGTTGAAGTAAATTTGAACAGGTCCTGTTGTAGGGCATGTCGAATCTAACAATGAGAAGCAAGCTGCCAAGTTGCTCCAGACCCCGTCAGACATCCGTGAGAGGGTGGCAGGCAGCACGCGGAAGCACACGACAGCGGGTGTGGACAATCCGAGACAGAAGACCAAGGGCCTCTACGTGGGGCAAAGCAGGGGGAGCAGGAAGGGTGTGTGCACGTGGAGCAAAGTTCAGAGGACCCGCTCACTTCTCCCCAGGCTCTGCTGCAGAGAGCGGACACCTAGAGCTGCTGGGAGCGGCAGGTGCAGGACACGGTCATGCGCTCCTGAATCATTACGGAGCACATGATGGACAAGGCTTACTGTGTTAATGGTGTGTGCATCCGGCGACACACGCGTTCCTCCCCCAGAATCCCATGCTACACAAATTCACGAAACAGAAACAGGGATTCTGGGGAGAGGGGGCTAGCATCTAAATCTTCCCCAGTGGTACCGAAAAACAACCTGATAGAAGGTAGCACAGTCATAGAGGTGTTATATAGCTGTGAAAGACACAGGACTGTAGGCCACCTTCACCTTGAGGGCCACAGAGCCTGTGTCGCAGGCTTGCACTGAGCTGAGGGAGACGGCACACAGGGGATCCCTGGAAGCAGGTGGACCGCTGCGACAGCAGATGTGGGTGGGGAACCAAGGTCCGTGACAGGTTGCCAAGTGTGTCGCGTTTATTCAAATGTGGGGTGGCTCAGCTGGGTCCGGTTTTCTTCATTTAAACCTAAGAAACTGCTCACAAGCCCACATGAAATTCGCACCTCCTAGTATGTGAATCAAACGAGATGGTTATTCACACCGCACACTACAGCAGCAGGGACTCTGCTCCAGTTCAAGGCTAAGGGTTCCAGTTCGGGGGAGGTAGAAGCTGCCGTGTGTCTGGGAGCCTGGTGAGCCTGCAGGATGGGCTCGGGGGCCTGCTGGGTCTGGTGTGGACTCAAGATCCCAGAGGCTCAGGGACCTGGGTGCATCTGTTCCCCAGTCCTGGTGTGCTCACACTTCAACAAGGGACAGATGAGCAAGGAAAGTCTCTCTTAGGATGGCAGGTCAGAGTCCCTGGGGAGCCCAGAGGAGGAAGTCCAGGGACAGGACACAGCCTTACAACAGGCCTCTGGACTCTCAACAAGGGTGGATTTTCTGCACACGCAAACCGGAGACTCCCTGGTGTAGATGGAGGGTTCTTGAACTCAGCTGTCCTTTGAAATCACCAGAGACATGAAAACAGTACAGGTACATGGGTCCGCATGAAGAGATGGTTTAGTTGGTCTGGGGACAATGGGGACGTCCACCGACAGATGAGTAGGTTGACAAGACGTGGTGTCCACGCAATGTATGAGTCAGCCTTGATGCAGAGGAGACACCAATGCTTGGTGTGACCTGGTGATCCTCGAGGACATCATGCCCAGTCACAGAGGCCAGAGACAGCGTGAGTCCATGTACGTGAGCTAGCTGGGGTCTGGACTCTGAGGGCCATGGGAGTGGCACGGTCAGTGTGGCCCATTACCCCTGCCAAGCACTGTTAATTATGATAATGAGACTGGGGGGAAGAGGGCCAGCAGCCCTCCCATTTCAGTTGAATCCACTTAGCTTTGATCCCAGCCATTAGGGGAGCAGGTGCCCTTTCCTGAGCTAATGGCTGGGACAGCAGACAGGCTGGCTAAGCTCAGATGAGTTCTGGGCACGTCTTCACACTTAGCCCCAGCCAGGGGGGCCCCTCAATCCTTCACAGACCCTCTTGGTCCTGGGCCCCGTGAGCACTGGAGTCTGAGCTGGGCTGGTCGGTGGCCCACAGCGGGCAGGCACGGAGGTCTCACCGAGAAAAACGCTCAGTTCATTTCCAAATGGGGATGGCGAGAGTTTCTCCAGAGTTCACATAGCAGTGAAAATCCCAAACTGAATCTGAAGGCAGGTGTGGAGGGCTGGGTCCACCTTGCACAAAGGCTCGAGGCCAGGACACCAAGTGGAGTCGAAGGACACGCGAGTTTACCAGCAGAACACGGCATCCCGCAGACACAAACCTGCCAGGGAGCACCTGGAAGGCCATGCTGTCCTGAGGGCCATGTCCTTCTAAAAGCCATCTTTCTGTAAATCAGAATTCTGCTGCTGAGGACAGGTGTCCTCTCTTTGGTTCTCTGCCATGCTGCCAGCAGCCAGGACGTACCATGTGGCAGGTGTCCCCTGAGTGATTGAATTTGCCTCATCCCACCTCTGGGCCATCCCTCCTGCTCCGTGGCCACCACTCCCCACTCCCCCACCCCGCAGGCACTGTTGCCAGCATGCTTGGGACTGGTGTGCATCCTCTGAGTCCCTGAAAGGATTGGTCTGGGCAGGAGCTGGTCCCAGTCATGTCCCTCCTGGCAGGGAGCACTTACTTGTGAGCGCTACACCATCAGCATCCAAGAGTGAGTGTGTCCCTTCTTCTTCCCGCTCATCTGGACACAGCTGGAAATATCCCTCTGGGCAACTGTAGCACTCCCTCCAAATTCCGAGCCCATTTGAACCTTCCCAACCCTTGTTGTGTATTTCCATCTTCAGCCTACATATTCTTCAACCCTAGAGCAGTAGGCAAGGTCAGACTGGGAGAAGCCTCCAGTGTGACCTCGGTGCAGCTGGTGGCCAGTTCTGCGAGATTCACCCCAGGTCACTGCCAGCATCAACTCCCCTCCACTCTGGACATGGCTCTGCCCCCACCCCCACCTGGGCAGGGCAGAGACCTCCCAGCTGGTCCCCCAGTGACACACGCACCTCTCACTCAGCTCTGGTCAGCAGCCTCACTGGCTCCTTGTGCCCCTGGAGGTCACACTCTTGGGGGCCGAAGGCTTCAGGGCCAGGTGCCATGGACTGTGGATGAACTCAGCCAGCCTGCCCACCTGGCGGTACCAGCAGTCCAGGCCTCTGCCCCAGACCTAGCCTGCAGTCCTGGGACCTATCCTCCACCCAAGTTCCCTGCTGAGGCTGGACCCCAGGCTTGGAGGGCTTCTGTCTGTCCCATGGGCTCATCCAGGGCCAGCTCCCCTACGAAACAATCCTCACACCCCTCTGGGCCCATTTTATCTCCCTAGCCCTGATGTGCCAGTCACACCCGTATGACAACATATTCATAATGTCATGCCTAACCCCCAAGAGTGCACAATTCTTGAGGGCAGGGACCCCATTTTTATTCATGCTATATACCTGAAGTAGCGTAGCTTAAACACGCCAGTAATATTGCCTGCTGATTCTCTGAAAATGTATTTTCATCAGGGGCACTCACCTCCCAGGCCTAACACAGGGAGCTCCAGACATGGCCTCCTCATTCTAGGGGCCCAGGCCCCTGACCGTTTCACGGCTTCCATTCCCAAGACCATAGGAGCTTCATCAGTGATGAGGGTGGTCAGTGTTAATTTGGTGAAATCAGGAGAAAGGGCTTTGCTTTTCCTAAAGGAGAGAAGCTAATTAAGGAGGAGAAACAGAAAAGGTTATGCATGTGTTTTTTTTTTCTTGCTTTTTTGCTTTTTAAAGATTTTATTTATTTATCTAGAGAGAGAGAGAGAGAGAGAGCGCATGCACGCATGAGCAGTGGGGAGGGGCAGAGGGAGAGGGAGAGAGAATCTCAAGCAGACTCCGTGCTGAGCACAGAGTGGGACACGGGGCTTGATTTCACGACCCTGAGGTCATGACCTGAGCAGAAACCAAGTTGGATGCTCAAGGGACGGAGCTTCCCGGAGGCCACTGTGTACTATTTTGCTATGCCATACAGCGATTGTCTTTGTGGAGGAATTCGAAATTATAGCTGGGTCTCTTATGGAGCGGAATTTTAATTGGAAAAAACCAAGACCGTTTTGTGAGTCAAGGCACGTGGAACTTGAGAGCTGAAGGTTCTTGGAAACCTCGGGCCCAGCCCCTGTTCAGAAGGTGGCTGCCGGCTCCCTGGGACCCCAGAGAGGGAAACTCTGCCCTTTCACAATCAAAAGCATTCCTCACCGAATCAGAGCGGTGCTGAGGAAGGGTCTTGTGGGACCTGAAAGGCCCTTCCATGAAATCTCCAAAGGCATTTGGCAACTGAGGCTCAACCAAGCCAGGGACGCAGCAGAAGCTCACTGCACCGTGGTGAGCACGGGACTTGCGGGTTTCTGGGGCAAACGCGAAGGTTGCCATCAGAGTGGGACATTTCTAAGCAGTCCAGCTAGGTAAGTTAGGGCCGAGTGAGGCAACCCTGAGGAGGACACCACCAGGGCTCAGATGGAGAAGGAGGGGTCCTGCCGGTGGGAGATGTCTGGCGCTTGGCCTCGCTGCAGACGTGATCTCACCCATGCTCAGAGAGGCCAGGCTCTTGCTCTAGCTCACGCAGCTGGTTACACTGGGGACTGGGGCTTACATCCAGCGGCAAACTTAGTCATCGTTTTGATCTTCCAAAATACCCAAGGCGGAATACACCGGGAAGCAGGTAGAGAGCCCGAGTGGGTGCTCTGCACAGAAATCACGCGGAGACATTGCTGAAAAGCAGGTTAAGTCAGCAGGCTGGGCTGGGAGCTGAGACCCCGCCCTCGGAGCAAGCCTCCAGGAGATCCTGACCCCGAGAGTGCCCCGACCCACCACGGCAGCCTGAGTGGCAAGTGACTTGTCCTCCGTCACTGCTCAGTGCTGACGAGATGCTGGGGGATCACTTCTGAGTTCGGCCCCAACTCTTTGCAGCCCTGAAGGTGTAGCATCAGATGGTTGCAAAGAGGGATCAGTTGAAGCCTCTGGGAGGGGGTGGGACAGGCCTCACGGGTTTAGGCGCAGCGGAGGACACAGGTGCGCGGGGCGCTCCCCCCCGCCCACGCCGACCGGCAGGGGGCGGCAGAGGCGGGCTCCGCGGGCCCGCAGGTGCGGGGGCGCACGGGGAGCGGGGCTCGCTCGGACCAGGACGTCTTCTTCCCCAGCCCGGTCTCAGAAGGGACTGTCCACCCCGCCCACGCGCGCTCGGAGCTCTGCATCGGAATGAGGACCAAGTTTGCAGCTGGATTCAAGTGCTGGCTCCCAGTTTAATGGACGTGTGACCTGCGGGGTCTCAGCTCCCAGCCCAGCCTGCTGACTTAACCTGCTTTTCAGCAATGTCTCCGCGTGATTTCTGTGCAAGCGCCTCGCCTCTCTGAGCACCAGTGCAATCATCCCTGCACTGGCGACAGAAAGTGTACTTCCCCAGGGACACCCCCGTGCCCAACCCAGCGCAACCGGTTACTGACACGAAACCCGCTAACACTTCTTGCGTGTAAGTACACAGACATCATTTATCCCAGTGCACCTCGCTGGAAACGCACTCCCTTTAGGAACCACCGAAGGAGAGCCCTGCGAAGGAAAACAGAGCTTCTCCCAATACTGGGGCCATCTGCTGCTTCCCTTTTCTGCCCTCACAGGAGGTTATGTAAAATCTTGCCTGATGGTGTTTAATGTCTTCAGGTGGTGGTCCCCCCCACACCACTGAGGCATGCGGAGGCACCCATATTCTGAAGACAGTTATGTTGCAAACCCAACAAAATGGCTTCTCTTCAGTCTGTTCATTACACATTCCTTAGTACAGGTTTAAAACATCTGACTGAAGAAAGTAATTCCATTTGGGTGATTTTTAAAGACCAACAACTAGCAGGACCCCCTTTAAACTCCTTGAGAATGGAGAGCTCACCAAGGAACTGAATATCCCTCTCTGTCTGCAGAAAATTCACATCTGAGGCTCTCACAGTCCCCCCAAATGCAACTTGGTAAAGTCAGCGTGCAGGTGGCCAAGCAAATTGCCTGGACAGAGGGGCAGCTGCAAGGTCGGGAGCCAAAGCCCCCAGCAGAAAGCTGAGAAGTCTCCCATTGCATCCCCTGAAGTAATGACAGAGATCTCTCTGAGGGCAGAAATTATCGTCATTGTGATGTAAATTGAGGCAGCTGTCGGGAGGCACAGGGAAGGAAAACCTATTAAACTTTGATCTGTTAGACAAGGAGAATGGAAATGTGAAGAGAGATTACACAACACTTGAGAAGGGAGGGTGAGGAGGGAGCCAGGCCAGGACGAAGAGTCCTGCGTCTCCCCAGCCAGGGGCGGGGAGGAATGTGGGAGGGAAGATTTCAGGGGTGGCTCTAAAAGGACTGGGCTGGGGAACACGCCCCTACTGGAAGCCTGTGTCCCCTACCCTAGGGAGGTTCATGAGGTGGGATCCACCCTGGGCTGACTGCCCGGAGGCTGGGCTCCATTCTGGGTGGGGTGGACTTGGCCAGAGACTTGGCTCCAATTAGCTGTGGGTGGTAACTTCCAAGATGCAGGACCCCAGGGCCAAAGCCCTGGGCGGGGAGAGGGGAAAGTCAGGTTCTTGTCCTCCTATGGCCACCATCTGGGCATCCTTGACAAGTTTAATTTCCCTTGTCCCCTTTCTGTATGCTTATCATGATGAGGGTGACCTGGAAGCCAGGTGTGTGGCTGGAGAAGCTTGCAGCGTCTTCCCACTTTCGTTTCCCAAACAGGGGTCAGATCTCTCATCATTAAGACAAACAGAATCTTCTCCTGACTTGATCACTGCTCTCTTCAGGGACAGTCCCTCAGACATGAAGCCTTAGAAGGGCCCCTTGTCTCCACTGCCTATAACTGGCCTCTGCGGGCCCCCCATCTTCCCTATGGCACCCCCAGGACCCCCTCCTGGAGCCCACCACCTCCTCATCGATTCTTGTCTGAATCTCCCCAGTGTCTTCTGTAGTATGGACTTTTGGACCCCTGTTTCTTCTTGCAATACCTCCTCCTTTGTCATCCTTGACTTTCCTCCCACCTTTCTGTCATTCCATTTTCCACCTCTCCCTTCTCATTCCCCCACCCCCTGGCTCATGGATCCCCTTTGCTCCCACAGGTTGGACTATCCCCAGCACTCATGCTCCCAGTAACTCTCTCTGGCTCTGGCCTCACCTGGACTCAGAGCGAGAAGCATGTCAGTGGACCCGTCTCTCGTGACACCACCATGCCCCGCCACAGGAGCCGTCAGCGAGGGAGAGCAGGGAGCCGTCTCCACAGAGGCTGCCAAGCAGCATGGTCAAGGGTGGGAGGGAGCGCAGGCCCCCATGGGCAGAGTGGCCGGGAAGGTGCAGCTGTGAGCTTGTGGGATGGCTGGGGCTGGGGCTAGACAGGCTATTCCGCTGCCAAGAAGGACCTGCATTCTGTCCTGGGGGCAGTGGGGGCTGCTGGGGTTTGTACTCCTGCTGCTGCACAGAACACAAACTCTTCAAGCCCTCTGGGATCTGGCTCCACTAAATGTACCCAGTCTCACAGTCCCAGGAAGAATGCTCAGCCCACACTTTCTGCACCGAGTGGGAAAGGCACTTCCCTGTGTCCTGTGTGTGGCTGGGCTGCAACCAAGGATTATTTACCAAATGCTTGCTCTGTGCCAACACCAGCAGTGGCTCAGAGGGTCCCTAGATGAAGGAGACGTGGCCCTGCTGCAGGAAGTGGGGCAAAGACCCCTCCCATCTGAAGGGCAATGGGGGGGGTTGGGGCAAGAGCACCTACAGAGCTCCATGCAGAGAGCAATGGAAGCCAGAGGAGGGGCTCTCCAGCTCTGCCTGTCTTCATTGGAGAAGGTGCCCTCTGACATGCAGAGGATTACCCAACAGGACATCCAGGGCAGGAGAGCAAATGTTGTAAGGGCCTACTCAGCCAGAGCAGCCCCATCCCGGTTGAACTGACATTTTGTTGTAAAACTTAAATTGACTCTGCCTCCCCCTCCCCCCACCCCCTGCCCACGGGAACTTACTTAAGAACAAGTCCCGGAAATCAGTCCCAGGTAACAAAGTCCAAGTAAAAAGGGTGGGTCAGGCCAGGTGGAGGTATTCAATCAGTGGGGGCACATACTATCTCCTAGCTACCAAGGAGTATGGGCCCCGCCCTTTGGGCACCTTTTGGGCACCAATTCTGACCAATGTGAAGGCTGGTTCAAATGTCTATTAGGGTAAATTGTAATTCAGTTGGTCACCTAGCATGACTGTGCAGCTTTCTCTGTGTGTTACAATTTCATTGGCCACCTATGTGTGGCCAGGCCCAACCACGCGGCCTTTGCTCTATAAAAGTTAGTCGGTGAAACAGAGAGGGGTGGTCCTCTCTGTAAGGGGCGGCCCCGACCGGTCTGTTTGACGGTCGGTTTGATTCTTGATGCTTGGCGCGAAATAAAGCTTTGCTTAACCTTCGCTTTGTATCAGTCTCGCTCCTTTAATCATGGACCCATTATTGGGGGACCCAACAATGTAAGGGAAGTGAGGCAAACAAAAAAAGACCTTCTGGAAGGTCAGCATGTCAGGAGACACAAAGAGAGTGGCCAGAGCTGGAAAGGGAGGCAGGGG